TGAATTCGGTCACACTTCACTGCCATGGCACGTGTAACACGTGTGCAACTTTCTAGCTCTTTTTATAAAAGAAGRGTTTTTTAATTAGCTGCTTGCCCGCATTGCCTAGTAAACCGTTTAATTATACACTGAACAGGATTATGTTGCTACCCAGAAGCAAACCATCAGTATATATGCGACCTGGTATCTCAATGTTTGAGATATTGATCTGAGAGATTACACACCTACTTTTCTTTCTAACGTGTTACTTATTTGTTGGAATCGCCGATATCGATATACAAACTGAATTGTCAAAATCAAATTCTTATATGGAAAATATTTTTATTTGACAAGATATCTTCACGAAATTTTACACAGCTTACTCTCTAAAGCCAGGCTGTAAGAGATGAAGAACATTTTTAGATCGGACCACTATAGCATATAGCTGTCATACAAATCGAACGAACAAAATTACGTTCTTGTATGAAAAACTTTTTTATTTATTTATGATATATTCACAAAATTTGTTACAGATTATTTTCCAAAATTAGGCTATATTATCTGAAAAAAWTTTTTTAGATCGGACTACTATTACATATAGCTCCCACACAAACTGAATGGTCAAAATGAAGCTGTAATAGAGAAAGCTTGTTTATTTGACAAAATAACTTCACGAAATTTGGCAGAGATTATTTTCGAAAGCAGCTCTGCAAACTCCGAGCAAATTATACAGATCGGACCACTATAGCATAATGGTAGCTGTCACACCAAATAACCGAACCGAATCAAATTAAAAAACTTTTTTCCTTATAATCTAACTTTTATTTGACTTAAAGGCAAAAATTTCTTTAAAAATTATCTTTAAAAATAAGTAATATTCAGTTTGTCATTTTATTCTCAATACTGTACTCAAACGAACTGTTAAAAACTAAGAGTATTTAGGGGAAAATTTAAAATCTTAATGATTTCATAACAATTTAGTTAGAAAGCTATGTGTTAATAAAACAAAATAGTGCACAATGAAAAAATATATATATTCGTATATAGAAAAAATATATAAAAATTTATAGTAATTTCAAAATGCGACMAATTCTGCCCGGAGTCAGCGCTATGCGTCGCTTTCGCTATGCTAAGTCGCCACGGCACAGAAAGGCGCAGCAAGCAGTGACAGCAGCAGGTGGTTATTGAAAGGGTGGTCGGTGGCAGGAGCGTGCGGTGGCACTGAAAACACATGAGTTGGTATGTTTGYATAGAAAATGAGGCATGTTTTGTGCTGCTCGGCTTTTTTTTTACTTTCCTTTAGTCGTCATACCTTTTCAATAACAAGCAAGCACACTGTCACCAATGTATATAAAGTTGTGTATACATATATGTGTGTATAAGCGTTCGACGGTATTTTTACACCTCCGTTTTTCTGCTTACTGACTTATTATTGTTATGACATTATTATATTATTTAATGGAAACACGATACGCACACAACAATAATGAAAATGTTGATATGAAGACGGCAAACAAATGCATGTACATATATGTGTGTATACAGTTAATTGTGTATGTACAGTTAACTTCGGTGTGCAGCGTATCTACAATACCCTGCACAAATATTAAAGTTCATACAAGGACTTGGTTTGGATGGTTTAGTTCGTATGACATGCTATATGCTATAGTGATCCGATCTATACAACATCTTTGGAAATTGTAGTGTTATATTGAGCAATTATTCCAGACAAATTTTGTGAATATATCATTTGAAATAAAAAAGTTTTTCATACAAGTACTTGTTCTTGATAATTCAATTTATATGGTAGCTATATGCTATAGTGGTCCAATCTAAAAAAAAATTCTCAGATATTATAACCGGGCCTTAGAAAATAATCGGTACCAAATTTCGTGAAGATATCTTGTCAAATAAAATTATTTTCTATATAAGAATTTGATTTTGATCTTTCAGTTTGTATGGCAGCTAYATGCTATAGTAATTTAATTTATACAATTTCATCGAAGATTATAGTATTATTTTGGAAAATTATTCGAGCCAAATTTCGTAGGCATATCTTGCCAAGAAAACAAGTTTTTCATACAAGAACTTGGTTTTGATCTTCAGCTTGTATGGCAGCTATACGCTAAAATGCTCCGATATCGGCGATTCCGACAAGTGAGTAGCTGTTTGAGGAGAAAAGAACTTATGAAAAATATCAGTGCGATATCTTAAAAACAGAGCGACTAGTTCGCTTAAATTCAAAACCGTTATGGCTAAATCGCCCCACTTCACACACTGAGCATTTGAATATGTATGTAGGTCCTTCTATACTTTATAGGGTCCTCGACATTTGCTGTTGGGTATTGCAAACATCCTGGCAAATGTTCAGGGTATAAAAACTCCTATATACATATGTATAACGTATTGTCTGTTGAATGAAGTCAAAACTACAAAGCAAAACAGGAGTATTTGTATTCTCTTGCTTAGCTAGCGTGAGGGAAGACAATGCAAAAAGTCAACTTATTCGTAAGCACTTCTTGATGTATTTCCCTAAATATTTATATATATGGGTATGTATACCTATAAGTGTATATATATATGCAGTACAAAGTTCTTTAATGTCTTTGATTTTTTTTTTTGGATTTTTTTTGACAATGTAAATATTACGAATCGATCAACGATCATAATAGAATTAGTCATCGTCATAAATATATGATATGTAAGAGTAGTTTGTGAGCAGACAGGTGAATGTGAGTCGGCAAGCGTTTGCACTGGCACTGACTTGTCACTTGACGTGCAAGCGAAAACAATCAAATTACTGGCCGTTGGGTGAAATAAGCAAAAAAGCACGTGCGTTTTGCGCGCAAATCAAAGAAAAAAAAGTAACCACTCTACTTTTTCAAAATACATACATATGCGTGTATGTATGGCTGTATACATATATGCATATTGTATTTATTAATATGCATTGTGAATAAAAAAATATTTATTTATTTATTTACTCGTTTTCTTTTATTGTTTTAAAGTTTTTTTTTACTTTTATTTTGCATTTACTAATACACGCCGTTTTTTTTTTTCAAGTATTCATGCTTTACTTTTGTGCTTTTGCTTCCTTCCACCGCCTGTTCATTTCAAAGTACAAAAATTTAATGATTTCATCAATCACTCATGTAAATACTAATACAAATTTACTGACAAACAAAATTTCACTGTGCTTCCCGGAAATATCGTAAGTGTCGTAAGCTGCATTTCCAAACCAAAATTAGCGTACGAAAATGTGTTTTGCTCTTCATAACTAGGTTTAGCCAAGTTGCTAATCAATTATATATTTCTAGACTCTTTGTATATTAAATTTAAATTTTTTGAGCAGCAAGTCAGTACATAAGCCTTAAATAGTAAATTGTACAAACAAAAGTCCAAGCTAAGCTAAAATTGGTACCATGAAAAGTACCTGGCCCCTACTGTTAGAAATTTGTCAAGTGCTTTGAATAAAAAAAAAAAATTGGTAAATTGGTTTTATCACTCAGATGTTGAACTGTCTTGTAAAAGAATAAAAAATATTTTGTTAGCAAGTTTTAAAAGAATGTAAAGAAGAAGAAGAAAGTAAATTTGATCTGACTGCATTTAACAATATGAATGACTAAGAGAAACTTCAAAATTTCGAATAAATACTTTTTTGAACTTGCAGCACTATTCTAACTGTACGCTTACTTTTAGTCGTGAATGCGGTAAAGAAAATTAGTAAATTATTTGTTGATGTGTTCAACAAATATTCAAAATACGAAAAGACTTTTTCGACTACCAAATATTTATTTGGATCTGATTTATATTACGAATAAATACAAGCAAAACGATAAATTCAGTTATGTGTATATTTTTGTGAAAAGTTTTCGGAAGATTTTACTATTGACTTGTATAAAAATACATGCAAAATTTCACGAAAATAACTCGGCAACTAAACAATTTTTCCAAACAAAATCTCATTGTTGAACGATCAGTTTGTAGGACAGCTATATGATATAGTTATTCGATCCAAGCAATTTTTTTGGAGCTTTTGCGGCTGGTTCAGAAAATATTTTATACCAAATTTTAATAAGATATTATGTGAAATAAAAGAGTTTTTCATACAAGAACTTAATTTTGAGCATTCAGTTTGTATGGCAGCTGCATGTTGTAGTTGTCCGATCTAAACTTTTTTCTCAGTTATTATAGCCTGGCGTTAGAAGATAATCTGTACCAAATTTCGTGAATATATCGTCTTAAATAAAAAAATTTCTCATACATGAAATTAATTTTGTTCGATCGCTTTGTATGGCAGCTATAGGCTACAGTGAGCCGTATTAAGGCGTTACATGGGTTTACGCATTTTTGTTATCTTATTAAATTCTACAATACCAGTAGAATGTTGTCCTAAATTTTCAAGTATATCCGAGTAATATTTTCGGAGATACGACCGTGAGAACTTGTGCGCTCGAGACGTTTTCTTCGAAACTGTCAGTTGGCAAGATTTCTTSAGTACTACTCAACCGATCTTCATGACACTTAACATACATTCTACCAACGCGAGCGCTTCTTGTTTACGAGGAGTCACCGGAAACGGCGACGCAATGAATTATATTTTTCCAAAAATTTCAGAATGTCATTGTTAAATGTGTATTTTTTTTATAATAAAACATGCTAATAAAATATTTCATTTTTATATGAGAAAAAATTGTTGAAAAAAGGCTGTTTTTTACACGAGTAAACCCTCGTAATCCCTTCAAATGAACTGCGTAAACTGATCGGGTTAAAACAATAATCTGAAGCCTAGTGTAGGAAATGTGGAGAAGAAATAGGAAGGGCGAAATCCCTAGAAATATATCAGTACATATATATAAATACAAATCTTTATTGCTTTCTTTTTTTCTACGCTTATTTGCTCTCCCTCTAAGCTAACTTAACAGTAATCCTTTTAGATCGGTTTATTTAAAAAGTATGCATAAATCTCAACTGCTCACATTAACCTAGTTAAAAGCTAATTGTATAGTAAATTGACTTACCTTGTTAGAACTGGACTCAGCGGGGACGGAAACAGTGATATAACAGTCGGATCGGTGGCAAAACCACCGTACACGTCTCGATAGGCCGTCGCATTGGTTAATTGYGTAAAGCTGGCGACGTCTCCTGSCGCACCGCCGTGCGAAAGTGATGTGGGCGACGGTGARCCGCCWCCCGAACTCAATGAATTGTTGTGATGTTGATGTGTGTTCACATGCAACTGATGCAGCTGAGTGGGTGTCAGCACCTGTTGCTCCGCTGCGCCCAACATATGCGTATGATGATAAGCATCCTTAAGGTCGGGCACGGTGGTCAACGTACAGTAACTGACACCCGTGTGATGATCCTCGAGACACTCATCCTTTAGCGTGTCCTGTATGACCTCGTCAATGCTGCTGGGTGCGGCGYCAGTGCTTGAATGATGCTGCAGATGATCATGTGGATTGCCACCATAGGTGTATAGACTGAAATTGTTACGCATATTGTCGTCAATGAATTGTGGATGATGTGCGTGTGGGTGCGTGTGCACGTGAGGATGCAAATGCGACGGAGGTGAGTGTACGTACGGCGACGCAGTCGACAGATGTTGGGTAAATAGTAAATGTGAGGGATGCAAAGCAATTAAGTCGGATTTATCGAGCAACTCTTTTGTGAGCTGTTGTTGTGTTTGATGTTGCTGCTGCTGGTGATCAAGTTGTAGCAACTGTTGCTGATTATGACGCGACAGATCGTAGGCACAACTGTTATAAGGTGTGAAAAAATGTTGGTGATGTTGTTGTTGCTGCTGTTGTTGTTGTTGCAGTTCAGTGGCGACAGCCAAATTTAAATTGGGATCAGCACTGTTGAGTATATTCGATGTGAGTTGCAGCAATTGCTGTTGTTGCTGGTGATGTTGGTGTTGCACCTCACCAATACTATCCTGCGACAGTTGCTGAGTGTAGCGCAAATACTGCGGCTCAGTCAAATGTTGTTCACCTGTTAATATGTGTACTGTTGTTGTTGTTGATGCTGTTGCTGGTGCCTGCTCTTGTGCGTAGTGCGACGTGTTAATTGCGTTGTGGTTGCTGTTGTTGTTATTGTTGTTGTTGTTGTTGCTGTTGCTATTAAAATTAGCTATAATTACCGAATTGTTTGCACCGCGATAGTTAAGTGGCAATAGTTCGTTTTGTTGTTGCTCTACAGGTATTTGCTCTTGTTGTTTGTCACTAATTTTGGCATTTTTGCTTTCACTCACGCTTGTATTGTTTACACTAACACTTAATTTACCGTTATTATTGTTATGATTATTATTGTTATTACTRTTGATAACGGATATTTGTGCGGCATTTGCGGTTACAACCGGCGCCACGGCAGCAGTCGGTATTAGTGTTTGTTTCGTTTTTGTTAACGTCGTAGACGTTGTTATCGCATTACGAAACTTATCAACGTTTTTGGCATTTTTATCTCGCGTCACTAACTCTTGTTGTATTTGTTGGGGATCCGTGTTGACAACACTATCTCTAACAACAACGTCACCGCTCGCTTGSTGYTGCTGTTGCTGAATCGCCGTTTCGKCTKCGACTTGACTCGTCGTCTCTAATTTCACTTGAAAATAAGCMTTCGTTGCAAGTGTTGTGGGAGTTTTTATTTGTGTAACATTAGCCGTTTGCTCTAAAGCGTTCACTGCTGTTGATTTGACTATGGTTGATGTTGTGYTTCGGGCTTCACCGATCGTACGTAACACCGTTTGCTTTGATGTTTCGTTGACAACTGATATGAGTTTTGGTGTTGCGGACCTTATTGGCGACGCGGACACAGWCGTCGCTGCCGCCGAAGACGACGTCAACGYCAGTGTAGCAGCAGGCTGTGCCAGTAACGAAGCCAAATGCGAAGACGAAGACGAATGCGACGGTATAGCGGCCGAAGACGACGTTGACAATGACGCAGGAGRTTTTTGTTGTTGTTGCTGTTCGGCTTGTAGTTGTGTTGGTTTTGTGTGCGCTTGTGGTGTCGGTGGCGTTGTCGATCGGTTATGCGTGTGTGAGTTTRCAAACGTACAAGGCGAGCGCATTGCATTTGTTATTGTTGTTTGAGATATGCTTGTGTTTCTCGCCTGCGTACAATTCTCTTCTGTGTGCTGCACTGTCTGCACCTTCGGTTGTTGTTGTTGCTGTGTTGAATGTATTGAGTGATCGGCTGCGTCGACTTTGGGCGCAGTCAGTTTCATTGTTGTAGGTTCGATCCTTGCACGCTCGCTCAGCATTGGCTGTGGTGGCGATTGGCTTTGCCCTKCCTTTAATATGCCGCCGTTCCCTGTCACTCTTGTGTCGTTGTTGGGCAGCAGATTGAAGTGATCACGCCGTTCGTCTGTTGYTTCGGTTGTTGTTGCTTTTGCCATACAAGCTGACRTATCTTCCACCAATAGCTGATCCTGCTGTCCGTAATATTGTGTTTGTTGTTGTATCGGTTGGCACTCCATTTCGCCACATTCACCACTTGTTCTATGCTGTTGTGTTGTTGTTGTTGTTGTTGTTGAACAAAGTCCATTTAATTTGTCTAATCCTTTTGATTCTTGAGCGTTTTGAAAATTCGTTAGCTGTGTCATTCTGTGATTCTCATTCAATGATCTGCACATATTGTTGTAAAACACATTTGTGTTTGTATTCGACATAGTCGTCGTGGCTAAGCCTTTATTTCCATTATTGGAGTTGGCCAACTTTGTGGCATTACACTTTGTTATCTTCATTTTCACTGCATTCGCTAACAGACTAGGCATGCGCCGATCCTTGCCAGTGTCCTTATTGGTGTCTTTATGAACGTTTACATATTTTGAGGCACGCATGCCGCTACTAGCGTCAGCGTTTTGCACCGTAGCTATTATTGTTGAGCTTTTGCTATTACTACGCGAAGGGAATTTCATTATTTTTCACTGCGAGTTTTCATTTGTACACGTTTCTGTTGTAGATAATTGCACACAAACTTTTATTCATAAAAAATGTTTAAGCTTTTTAGTCAGTTAAATCTCAATACCGTCTTTTAAAGATAATTTAGAAACATTTTAATTGTACGTACGCGCATATGTAATCTGAAAACGTTTAATTTGATTTTCTATTAGAAYACTTTGCTGCACCCTTGCCGTCAATTCACGCGCCTCCTCGGCTGATATGAACGAGTTTTTTATTTAAACTGTTGCTAATGAAAATCCGTCGCACATTCAAACGAAAAATCTCAAATGAATGTGTTTTCACCAAATAAATAAATAAAATATGAATATTGAAACGAAAGCAGCGAAAGCAAAGAGCGTTAAAAATCTCAAAAATACAAAAACAAGAATACAAATGTACACAGCAACAGCTTCCAGCAGATTACCACAATACACCACACCATCATACATTAAGGAGAGCCTATACATATATACACACACAAAGCGGCTATACGAAATGAAAAGCCTCTCGCGCACGCTKAGACGTCAGCTTTGGCATATGTACAAACAAACAGCTTCCAGAAAACATAGAACCATGTGTGGCAACATTTATACAATCATAAGCTCAAGATTATTWGTACTCAAATTCTATACACCGCTAGAGCAAAGCTAAAGTCACATAAACTTATTTATTCAACCACAATACGCTCTCTCCCTCTCTCGCGCGCTCAAGCTCTACGCTCAATGCCTCACTACACTTGCTGCTTATATGTTCAATTAAAATATTGCTTGTTGTTGTTAAGGCGGCACTTGCTAATCCACCTCAGCCATTTCTATAACCGCTATACAAGAGCTTGGGTGAAACTCACCACCACTCAGATTTATTGATGGCTACTGTTTCCGTTATTCGCATTTAATGCGCTATCCCGCTCATGCAAATGGCAATGGCTGTTCAGCTAATTGAGTCTACGCCCCTTTCAATGTGGTTATTTGTGCATGCATATGTACATACATATGTATGTAAATAATCTTTTGTTTAAAAYAAGTTACTAAAATGACAAGCAGAAAGTAATATACCACAATTTAATTTGAATTATTTTACTTATACAAACGCATTGAATAATCAAAAAAATGTCTTTACGTTTACTTTATAATATTAATAATAATAAAAAAAATATAAATTAATTCAATAGCTAGAACTTTTTGCTCTTGAACAACATTCCTCAAACCACCATATTCCTTAGTATGCACACAATATAGGCCAGTACAGAAGCTTTTGAAAATGCTAAAAAAGTAAAATATAATTATAGTAGTAGAATGAAACCGCTTGGAAAAAATAATAAACAAAAACAAAAATGAAAGGGAAAATAATTAGGGCGATGTGCGGTCAGGAAGTGGAAGCGGAGGTATGTAGCAGAAAATGTAAACGTAGGAAACGTTTTATCTCGATTTATACCAAAATCCATCACAAAAAATTTTAATGGCAAAGCTGTAAGTTATAAAAATGGCTACAACTTTTGTATTTAGACTTTTTTGACATAACCTCAAAATGTATAAGAAAATTTKAAATCACCAGCCTTTTCATATTTTTATCTTTTAAAATATTTTTACGAAGTTTTTCTAATTTTTCTTAAGTCGTATTGTATTTTTTCCAAACGATTTCTTCCTACTATTATTATTTTTAGCTTCAAAAATATCGTCGATTGTCTATCAAGGCATTTTTCGTATTTTAAGCAATATACTAGGCTCTGAAATTTATTTTACAATTAATTTCTGAGTGTCGGCCATTTTAAATACCATATTTTCATCATCATGAAAATATATATATGTACGTATGTATATCAAAATAATCGTTCTCCAATTGCTACTTTTTGTGCGATGTGGCCTTTTTGTGGTTGTGTAATCGTCCAGTTGTGCTTAATATTTGTCGAATTGCTGGAAACTTCATCGAATTGTTCTAAACTTGAAGCGCAAATTTTCTTTATATAATGTTTAAGTGCCATTAAGTCAAAGAACCGCACGAAGTATCGCTATGGCAAGACGTTTTCAAGAATTGGAACTGTCTCGAACCACAACCTGCCTGATTTTGAGAAAGAATTTGAACAGGCATTCGCATAAAATTGTTCTCACTCAAGCACTAAAGCCATTGGATGACCGTAAATGTCGTGAATTCGCCGATTTTGCTTTGGAACAGCTTGAAAACGATATCGAGTTTTTTATGAAAATTTTTTTTCCGATGAGGCTCCCTTTTTTCCGACTGGCGCGGTAAATAAAAAAAAAAAATGTCGATTCTGGTGTGAAAAAATTAACAAATTATTCATGAACAACCCTTATATACACCTAAAACTGTTTTTTTTTT